TTCTGATGCACCAAATAACGTGAGCCGCTTTTGCTCTTCACAGAGCGAATGCGGTATCCATCGGGAAAACAACTTTTTTCACTTTTGCTACCTGCGTGAAATAATTACCTAAAATCGCGACGCGCCCGGGCGAATTAACGCAGTCAGGGCTGGCGCATTGGTGGCGATCAAATGTTAAAGTATTTTGCCGCTGTTTACGTAAATATTTTTATGTAAATAGTTGTTGAAATAGTTTTTGTTTAGTGTTTAGTACATTTAATTGTAGATAAAAATAGTTGTAAAAGTTTTAATGTATTTTAAAAATTATATAGGTATTATGTATATTACCTATTTGATAAATTATAATAGCAAAACGTCGTTCCTACTATAACTGTTGCTTAGATGGATACTAAATGAAATGACCAACAAAAGGGTTCACATCATTATTTAAGTTACCGAAGAATTTTAGAAGGAAGTTATGAAAGGTTAAAAAATTTATTTAATTTTTTTGTTAGATAGGTACTCACAGCAAAAACGAATTAAGTAATAATTTGGTCTACGAAAGAAATACCTAAGTACTTTATTACAACAATTAGTTAAAATTTACTTCACTATCCAAGTATTTACTTACATACCTATACTTGTCTTTTGTAATTAAAATATTTTGAGTTATAATAACACAAAATACTGAAATTAAAACTTTGTATACTAACAAGATTTTTAACTAAATAGAATAGATCACATTTCTGTTAGAAATCGTATTTCAGGTTTATTTGTTGTTTATTATCTATTTCTCCCAAGCGTTACGATTCCCGACGAATGATCTTGCAATTTGCATGCGTTAGGCATCGCAGAACTCACATGTGGGCGAAAGTATGGTTCAATCATAGTCAGAATATTGGTTAGTACTTCACCTAAGTAACATAATTAAGATTTCGCAATGTATTTTTTTACTTTCTATTGACATCCCTTAATAACCACGGAAAGTCCGCCGTGACAAAAAAGATGAAAAGTAATATGGACACTAGCGCGCAGCGATAAAGTTTTATTTAGCTTGCGTGTGCGATTTATCTCATTAATAATTATAATGTAGGCTATTAAACGTCGGTAAGCAGTCGACATCAATGGAGTGCAACTTCTGTACGTAGTACTATTATTTATTCTGTGCCTACATGTCTAACAGAAAGCATTTACTAGCAATAACCAAAAGCTATCATGTGAAGGTTATTATTATTTGAATACTTACATCCAAATGATCCTCACAATGTGCTACCGTGTTTGGTCCTAAAGGACGTGCTCTTCTCAGAGCATTTGTCCATTTTTATCTGATGGTAGGGTTTCTAGGCACATTAAAAAACAATTTTCCAGGTGTTTTTGTGGCCGTATTTTTACATTGAGGCACGGCGCAATATTTAATAGATGGTGTCATGTTCTATAATGTTTCTTGTTAAAAATAGATAGCAAGTAGATCCGCGCGCGACGGGCACATTTTTGAGTAAATATTTTGATTTTCAAAGTGCGCGTCGGGTTGCTCGCACGAAGATGGAAATCGTGACGTCATCAACGATGTCGCTCTCGGCCCGCTTAGACCGAAAATGTTAACTTTGCGCCTTTATATCTCGGTCAGTTTTGAAGATAGAAGAAAATTTAAAACACAGTAATTCTCGTAATTTTTTTGTAGAATTTTTTGGCTTATAAAACAAAAAAATGGTTATATTCTCCATTGCCGATTTTTATTAATGTCGATTTTTATTATTTTACCGCTACATTTAAGTATTTATAACTTCAGGGTTTATTTAAAAAGGAAATAAGATGTTTGAGAAAACATTATCTTAAAAATACATTATATATTTCATAATTCACGAAGCAAATAACTTATTTCCACACTATTATTGCACATGTAATTAATTTCTTATTATATACTTCTTTTATTTATATATACAAAATTATTTTACACATTTTATAATAATTTCTAAATAATTTTGATTTATTGATAAGACATCAAGGCTTTAAATATTCATAAATAAAAACATGTTATACATTGTCTAACAAAATGAACAACTAATTTGATCCCTCTGAATTTAGGGAGGCAATTTTGTCATAAGCTATAAAAATAATATCAAAATCTAAAATCGTTTATGTATTATATAATACCCAGCGTTAAAATTTACGGTCTATTCATTGTCTATATCAACGACTTATCATAAATCTTCATCAAGCGCTCAGAGTTCGCTTATATAAGACACTTATAAGGATTTTAACCCGTAAGTGCATAGCTGGCAGCATTAATATTAACTACCCTCTTTATTCATTCTAAATTGCTTTCTCAATTATTCATTTTTATTAAGCTTTTAAAAATAGCAATATCATTATAATAGAATCTGGAATTTCACAGTGAGTTTTTATCAAATACTATCTTAAAGGTTTAAAAGTGGTGTTGGGACGTGGTAGAGTCTCGCTATTGATATATATAGCTGCAACATTGAATCGGTCATATCCACAGCTCTATGCTCTATGCTATGAACCATGCTCTTCAAAAAACAGAGTGAAATAGCAGAAAATGCTGTATAGCCCAAGAGCCCGCTTCAGTTAGGCGCACAATATTTCATAAAACCAGAAAGTTTGTCTGCGCACGTCACCAACACAGGTAAGAACGATGAGCGACTATGTAGTTTGGGTAGTGGTTACTTTGACAGGTAACAGGTAACAAAGGTGTAAAAAAAGCACCTCAAATACATTAAAAGATAAAGCTCGGTTTTTTGATATTTTCTTTAGAATAATATTTAAAATGATGTCATTCATTGCCGGACACTTAGTATGGATTAAGGTTATTAAGGATTAAGGATAATTATATTGGATACAATACAACAATACAACAATTAGGGTTTTATCCAAAGGCCTCAACTTTGCTATTACACCCCGCAAATTACCGTACGAAGAAATTATCTGTAGTGTCGAGGACTGTTTATTTAAAAACAATATGCGGAAAGAAGATTTGGAGGCGATACGTCAAGAAATTTCGTCTATGTTACGTCGATGTTCAGTGCCTAAACCGAATCTTCCCAAAGACGAATTTATAGCGTTAAAGAACCTACGCAATAAACCAGAACTTACGATTCTCCGCGCAGATAAGGGAAACGCCACGGTTGTCATGGATACGTCAGATTATAATTCTAAAATACAAGAACTTTTGTCGGATATAAATACTTATAAAAAGGTTAAAAACGACCCAACAAATAGCACACTAAAAACAACTAGTGACCTCATAAAGAAACACATCCGAAAAATTAAATCTGGACGTAAAATGGATAATATCTACCAAATAGCGCCAAATCACCAAAATTGTATGGGTTACCAAAAATACACAAGCCCAATGCTCTATTACGTCCAATAGTGAGCCAAATCGATTCACCAACTTACAGATTGGCTCAAGACTTAGCGAAAATACTCTCACCGCTCAGGGGACATACAAGAGCACACATAAAGGATTCCTACCATTTTGTCAGCGAAATTAAAGATCTACATCTGGCTGACAATAAAACTATGGTCATTTTTGATGTGCAGTCATTGTTTACATGCTTACCTATTGAAGACTGCATCTCAATTGTAACTAAAAGGCTGGAAGAAAACAACATGCCCGTAGAATATGCAGTATTACTCAGACACTGCCTTACATCTGGATACCTATTGTGGAAGGAGGAGTTCTAAAAGCAAGTAGATGGTGTGGCGATGGTGTACCTGCTGTACTGCCATATGTTAGAGGAGTCACTGACAAGATTGGCTACATCTTGAAGCGCGCTTCCATCAAAACATACTTCAAGCCGCTGAAGAAGATTGGTCAGTTTTTACCATCAGTCAAGTGTAATGTCCCTCTGCAAGATGCAGGAGTGTACAAGCTTGATTGTGAATGTGGTCTCTCCTACATAGGACAAACTAAAAGATCAATAAAACCCGCGTTAAAGAACATATAGCTGATGTGAAGAATCGACGCTCCGGGAAGTCTGCAGTCTGTGAACACGTACAGGATCGCCCCCCGTCACTACATCAGATTTGATAGACCGCAAATCCTCGCTAAAGAACACCGATTCCTTCCAAGGATGATTCGCGAGGCTATTGAAATCAAAAAAACATCCTAATTTCAATAGAGAAGATGGCTGGGTGCTACCATCTGCTTGGGATCCTATAATAAATAAAATTAAATCCCAACCCAAGCATACAACTGCAAGACTTCAAGATACCATAAGTTCATACTGCATAGATCGGAACAAAAGTTAAATTTTAATCTATGGTAACCGCGGTTAACTATGACATATGGAAGTTGAACATCTCAGTCCTGCCCGTGACCATGAGTGCTGTAAAGCGTTCGAAACGTCGGGTATTTAAAAAGTTAAATATACGCGATAAATTCCGTAAAAACTAGTATTATTTCAATAGACAACATAGTTTTATTACTCGTTTTCGTTCATTTGTATTGTTTGCTTTCGCGGAAAAGAAGTGCAAATTTGATGACAATGAAAATTAATACGAAAATGTTTATCATAAATGATTGATTAAATGTAGGGTTTATTAACAAATGTGATTTATTTCAATTCGTATCTACGCAAAATGGCTCAAATATTACTTTTAAAAATTAGTAGATTTTAAAATGCGATCTAGTAGATTTCAGTAGATTTTAGCAGTATCTTTGGTAGATTCCCTCATTAAAAAGTGGTCACGCTGCATTGTATTGTGTTGAATTATTATACGTTCACTATATGTTTTATCGTTTATTTGTGTAGTTTGTGAAATAAATTTAATCGAGTTTTAGTGAAGTGTTATCATGGAAAATAAATTAATTTGTTTTGTTTGTAAAGAAAGTACCGGCAAAATAATATTGTCTTCAGAGGAAATTTTCAAAAAATGTCAAAATATTTTGAATGTCAGAAAAAAAACATAACCTAAAATATAAAGATATCATTTTGCCCGATGAATATACAGACTGTGGTTATCACCGGGAATGCTATAAAGCATTCATAGGGGTTATGAAAAAATATTTAATTTTTGAACCTGGAAGTTCTAAAAAAAATGAAAAAGCAACATCAGCCAGTGTACCTACAGACAATCGCTCTCCAACTACGCCGTTGATACCTGAGTTGACCATCGAACCATCTAATTTACAATCTTCCACTACAGAATCGTCAACAATCTCTCAAACAACTTTTATTTCCGAATCAATAGAACCACAACCTACAACTTCTCAAGAAAAACCTCATTCTCAGACTCTACCTGTAGAATCTTCATCAATATTGCAATCTATTCCAATTTCTGAATCGGTCGAACTCCAATCATCAATATCTCAAGAAAATGTTGAAACTTTTTAGTCAGATACTCGAAAAAATAATCATTCAACTCCAATAGTACATAATGTAACTGAGAGTGATGGCAGTATTAACAATAATCCAAAAGTTTGTGTATTCTTTAATAGAAAATATAAAAAATTACGATCTAAAATGCTTTCACTTCACGAAGCAGACACCAACAAACTTAAATCTAGTGTATTACCTAATATCGAATGTCAATACTAGTTTACATAATTATTAAATAGATTGGAAAAATTTTCTAGCCCGAAAATACACTATCTTAAAGAATGTAGAGTCGACTTTAATAATAAAATATCTTTATTAAAAAAACCATTCAGTAAAAGTGATTGGCATTTTCATCGAGAATATCAACAATTGGCTTTTGAAGAAATAAGTGTAATCATCGATGAAGACATAATCAAGAAAGGGCGCTGTCATTTATTAATCCATTTACACGAACCGTACATTGATTCATTGGAGAAAATTTTTCAAGACAATTCTGTTGAAATGAACGTTACTTTTACAGCTCAACACTTAGAAGAAAAAAATTTCTAATGATATTAAATCTTTCATTGTTCGTAACAAAAAAATAATAGCACCGAAATTTTTACACGTGATAGACGATATAATGTTGGAAAATTTACAAACCGAAAATATTTTACAAAAAGCGGCATTGATTTTAAGAAAAACAATACGGCAAATAGAAAAGAAAAAGTTGCCGGCTAAAAATATTACAGCGCAGGATTTAATATCAGGAGAAGCCTCGATACCACAACAATTACTCGACTTTTACTTTACTCTTCTTGGTGGAGCCAATCAAAAACGAAAAAACAGCTTAAAATGTAATCGTCAAGTTCGTTCTTATTGTCAAGATGTGATTTTTGGAGTCCATAATGGTCAAGTGAAGACGTCAAAGAAATATCATGTTAGGCATGACTTTAAAGAGTTTGACAAGCAGTAGAAAAGTTATTGATATCGTTAATAGATACGGGCACTGTATAAGTTATCAAGGAGTTGAGGAACTAGAAACGGAAACAACATATAGTACTATTGAAAAGTCTAGCTTATGCCCAGAAAAAATTAAAAAGAAACCTGAACTTTTTACTGGTGTGGCATATGACAATTTTGACCGTTTTGTGGAGGCTACGAGCGGAAAGGATACTTTACATGATACAGTGGGAATTATTTACCAAAACATTGAGTCAAATACGATACGAATAAGAACCTGAAATGCCTGAAGAATCTGAGATGTCTGAAGCGTCGATTCCAAATAATCGTAATAACTCACAACAAAAAAATAAAAAAAGAGAAAGGAAAAGAAGAACTTTTGAAGCCATATCTACAGAAGAGATTCCGTATCCAAAAAAATCAAAAATGACAAGTGATTTACAACTAAAGACTGATGATATAGAAATTACACACTCTACAAATTCGCAATTACACACTGTAATTGACAATATATGGATGATTAGTCATGCTTTGGAATTACCTGATGTACCAATGTGGGTTGGTTTCAACAGCCGGATTAATAATAATGACAGTCCGCAACAAATTATTTCCTATTTAACCCCAATCAATGCATCTCCAACCAGTACATCCATAGTTCTAGAGACTATGGAACAAAGTAAGAAAATAGCTGAAGACTTACACCAACCTTCCATACAGGTTACATATGATCTTGCCATTGCAAAAGTTGCATACCAAAAACAAGCCACGGAAACACCTCATTTTGATAACTTATTCATACATTTAGGACCGTTTCATATAATGATGGCTTATTTTAAAGCAATCGGTAAGGTGATAAGTGCATGTGGGTTAACAAATGTAATGGTTGAGAGTAATTTGCTGGCAAATGGTTCAGTGAATGGATTTCTTGATGGAAAACACTTCAACCGTTGTAAAAGATTACACCCTATGGTTGCTTTGGGGCTGGAAATACTACATTTTAAATCGTTCTTACAAAATAATAATATAACATTAACGGACGATGTAATAGAAGGAGTGAAAAGACTTCAAAACAGCGAAATATCATCATTTCACATAGAAAATGAAGAATTAGAAGAATTAATAAATAATTATCTCTCAATGGTGAACATGGTAAAACTGCACAGTTCTACTTAATTTACATCAACCTTATAAACTATTACTTGAACCTATCACGAAGCATTCGGACTGTAAATTTCGAGCTCTTTAGATTGATGCTATCCAAAATCACAAATATATTTTTATATGCAATCAACAAAATTATGCACGATGGACCGTAAAATATTATGATAATTTGTTGAAAGTTGCAGAAACTCATCCAGATTTATACGAAGGATTTAAAATAGGCTGCTTTGGTATTAAAAGGACCACCAAGCCGTTTTCAAGACAGCCTATTGACCTGGTATTAGAGCAAACGATAAACGCAGATGCCGCTAGAAGGCTCACAGGTGTAATACATTTTACAAATTCAATTTCAGCACGTCAACGGTGGGCTCGGAATCATGATGTGAGATCTACAATAATAAGCCAAGTTTATCTAGAATTAGGCTTACAAACTCATCAAGATGTTTCTGCAGACTTGAATCTTCATAATATTCGGAAAAATACCAAGCAGTTACAAAAATTCATTGCCACGTTCAATCGATTTATTAATCCCTTCAGCTCAGAAGTACCAAAAGAACAATTGATTAATATTTCATCTGGGAAATCTGCATCACCAACGGTAGAGGCGTTCCTTCTAAATATAGAAGTAAACGGAGATAGCCACCGTAAAACATTCATTTCTGAGTGTTTATCAGATATTAACCGATTCAAAAAAGCCATAAAGAAAACATCAATAGACAATTTCTCCAAAGATTATGAGAAAAAAAAGAAAGTTCAAGTAGGTGGTAAAATTCAAGAAATTAAAATTCAAAGAGATTTATTTGGACGTATGCTGGGAATCTCGATGGATTATAAAGTAGATATCTCAAAAATTTTATCTTACCCAATTACTTCAGTGCCATTGTCCATGTGCCATTTGGATGGAACTATTTGCAAAACTGATAAATCTGCTTTGATTAAAACTTTAGAGAAAGAGGTCCAACACGAGCAACCTCGTCATATTGATGTTCTAATAATTGATGTTTTTTTCTTATTGCATAAGATGAAAAATGTTCCGAAAAACTTTGGAAATATTTAAAAAAAATGTTGCAAATGGTCACTCAATTGCAAGCATCGAGAATTGATGTTATCTTTGATCAGTACTGTACCCCATCGATCAAAGATTATGAAAATTCACAGTGATTTGAATGTGCACAATTAGAGTTTACGATAACTGGCCCTAAGCAAGTTCGACCAAGTGATTTTACAAAAGAATTGAAAAATTCTAATTTTAAAGAAGCTCTTGTTGATTTCTTCATTTCACATTGGGCTACTGATGAAGTGGTGCCATTTATTCGAAATAAAATTATAAACATTAATTTCAGACAAAGTCATTCATTTACTGTTAATAGTTCTAATCACGTCGTTTCAAGTGTTGATGAAGAGTTGTCATGCCCAGAACATGAGGAAGCAGACACTAAGATAGTATATCATGCGTGTAACATCAACTATCAAGCAAATATAGTAATCAGAAGTGTTGATACTGATATTGCTGCTATAATGCTTGGGAACATGCATCATCTTAAAAATAATTCACGTGTTTGGATGCTTACAGGTACTGGAAATAACTTAAGATATGTTGACCTAACCAAAATTCACGCAGAGTTGGGAGAATCTATTTGTCGTAGCTTACCTGGGTTTCATGCAATCACAGGATGTGATTGTAATCCTGCATTTTTCAGAAAAGGAAAACTAAAACCTTATAAAATATTAAAAAAACATCAAGAGTACCAGAAATCTTTCATGAAATTCGGTAACAATGAATTAATTTAAAACGTTTTTAATATTGTTCAGAAATTTATATGCAACGTATACAATGTCGGTGGTATAATTGATGTTGATGCTACGCGCCTTCAAATGTTCATCGATTCATATACGGTCTCTGATATTAACGAAGCTTTTAACCGAAAAAAATTGCGAAATTTCGACGCTAGCAGCCTACCGTCATGTAAAAGCGAACTGTTCCAGCAATTTCTACGAGCAAATTACATATGTTGCATTTGGAATAATGCTCACCTAAAATATCCAACCATACACAAACCACAAAATAATGGTTGGGTACAAGAAAATGAAATGAAACAATACCATTTTAAATGGTTTGAAGGGGATCAGCTACCAAATTTTGTCAGTGATTCGTTACAAATTATATCAGGTATATAATTACTATATCAAATTATGTACATGATTTTGTTATTATTCATAATTGTATTAACTCGGTTAAATTTTTACAGAAACTGACGAAGAAGGTGATTTGGACATCAATCAAGAGAACTGGAGTAGTAGTGACGAGGATGATGAAGATATCGACGACAACAATGAAAATTCTGAGCATTATTAAATAATTTTTTGTATTCAATAATATTTTTTTTAACTCTGTAATAATATTAAGAACATTAAGAATATTTTTTACTTAATAAAAGATGGCTATGAACATATTAAAAATATTTTTTGGACTCCTTACCATAAACAATACTATTAGCTCACACAGTCAAAACTTGAATTTCTCAAAAATGTTAACAAACCTCTAAAAATTTATGGATTAATTTTTTAGATTTTTTTATTGATTTTTAGACATGAAAATTTTATTAGATAATTTTTTTACATGTATTTTTTAGTCATAAATAATTTTATGGAATTATTTTGCTGTTATTATTTTTATTTTTTGTTAAGTTTAAAAAATAGTTTAGGATATAATACTGAGTAAGTAAAAGTTCGCAATAGAGAACAGACTTTCAAGGCCTCTGGCAATATGTAAAAACCGTGAAAACTGTCCAGCTACTGGGGTAACTTCTTTTGATAGTCCCCCAAGTAACATATCTAAAATTCAGCTTTTATACTATATTGTAAGCGAAAGTGCAATTTTTTTGAGTTTGGGGGTGTCCGGCAGGGGGTTAAAACCATACTAAGTGTCCGGCAATGGATGACATCATTTTAAATATTATTCTAAAGAAAATATCAAAAAACCGAGCTTTATCTTTTAATGTATTTGAGGTGCTTTTTTTTACACCTTTGTTACCTGTTACCTGTCAAAGTAACCACTACCCAAACTACATAGTCGCTCATCGTTCTTACCTGTGTTGGTGACGTGCGCAGACAAACTTTCTGGTTTTATGAAATATTGTGCGCCTGGCTGAAGCGGGCTCTTGCTCTAGTATATTTTAAATAAAAATGATGTGTGGTGCAACGATGTTTTATAGGTCCAGATACCATGTACAGGCGCTTAAAACGCTTCCATTTAAAAGGCACCAATATTGGCGTATTTGTTCGATCGTTCCGCTATTACGCCAGCGATGTTCACTGCTATCATACGTTACGCACCAGTGTTTTTAATTTCGCAAAATGATTATTTATGCTGTGAAATTATTTTAAAATTACTCTTGGAAAAAATATAAAGATAAGAACACCACTTTTCATAACTAAGTGTAAAATATTCTGGTGTATTTAATTGTAAAACAATACGAAAGCTAAATGTCAATACAAGTAATAATACTGCGCAGTAATATTAGATCCTAGCCTATGAAATGTTTTTGCCATTTTTTAATGTTATGATCAATCGAAAAGGTTAACTGTATAGAGGTTTTAAACGGTCTAATTTAACAGGTTTTAACCAACCTATAAAGTTAAACCATTTTAAGGCTTAGGATTGATTTACATCTGGTTGCACGGAATCGCACTTTCCTCCTTTCCTTCCTTTTTGGTAACTCGGAACCGTCATTTACTAGAGCGAGAAATAGAGATACATCTACTGTGTTTTTTATTTATTTTTAACTGTTACGTACGTCAATTAGAATGAAATAAAAATCTCCCACGTTTTTGGGTAATCGATTTGTACCTTATTTTATTATTACCGAACCTTATTCGTATTACTGAAGTCACGCACATTAATGCAGGCATGGTACGTAAGATATGCGCGTGACGTGATACTTACGCACACACGAATCGAAGACTGGCGTCACTATGAACGGTGCGACGTGTTAGTAACACGGTATCTGTACCTATAAAATATCTTTGGTGTGGTGATTATAGGGAAACGGTGACTCTTTTTAAGAGTTACCAAGCATTCTATCGAAGTCTTCGGGGGTGACAATGCATCTGCATTTCGATTATGAATTGCCGATAGTTATGGATGTATATATTTAACGTGTAGTGGCGGTGTAAGAATATCCACTACCCCATATCATCCCGTGGGTCGCGTAAGAGGCGACAGGGGAAGACAAATTGATGGGAGGATGAGGAGGATGGGCAGCAGCAATTTATTTATTTTTAATCATTATTAGGAAGACCTATTGACGACTAAAAATAAAAAAATGTTGTTTGCAACCCTCGTGGAAGCGTACCATGCGTGGAAACCATTACAAATATCCCCCCTATGAGACAATCTATGGGGGAAGTCTATGTTAAGCATTGGACTTTAATAAGCTGAAACGGTATCGGTGATTTATCATATATTGTTTATTATATATTGTACTGTAAATAAGTGTGTTAAAGTACTAATCAGCGAGGAAACGGTAAAATCTTTAAAAATAAAATTTTAATTCAATAAAAATTTCTTCACACTTTAATAGGTACAGGGCTCTTTAGTATTAAAGTTGAATTATTCTAGGCATATTTAAAGGTTTAATAACCTAATACTTATATTACCATATGAGTTAAAATTATCGTTTTGGACTGCAGTATAAGTTTAATTTTATAGCAAATAATTGTTAATTTTTTTTATGTGATGTCCAAACTTTAATTTAATAAATTAAATGAATACATCATGTATTGAGGTTTTTAAAAAATATTTCCTTTAGTCTTCAGTATATTAAATTTTAATACCGCCATCTACTTAATTCTATAGGTGAAGTCATTTTATCGAACGAAAATTTATTTATTCTACGGTCATACAACCTATCTAGCAGTAGTATGCCTTCTGTGTGCTTTGTTAAACACGTCCTCGAAGCAGTGAATATGAAACTAAAGAGTGGAGACAGATCAAGATTGGTGTATTTTTATAAAACTACTAAAAACAACAAAACCATATCTTGGGCTTGCCCTAGTTTGGAGCCCTCGCTTCGCCACTGCTTATGAGACTTATCTACTTAATTTTGCTTAATATAAATTTGGTTTGGGCTATTCGTACAAGGTAATAATGCAAATTACAACAAAAACTCCTCAGACATACAAAGCTCAATGTAGGTGGTTTTGAAAAGTTTGTTTAGCGACAGCAATGGCTCGTCAGACTTCGTGCAAATTCGGCCGCCGACTTCTTAATGTCAATTTACACAGATAGGCATCTTAATCATCATAAGATGTGACTCGCATAAAATAAGTGTTATTATTAGTATAGTAGATTAGTTTTGATAATTAAGAAAAATTTGATTAAGTGTCACCTATTGAAAATTTATATCTAATGAGCTGTTGTAATATTTTTATTATTTATTATTTCGAAGTAACTTAAAATAATTGGTGTTTTTGTGGATAAGCAGATGTTAACTTAGATATTATGTATTTATTTGTACCAGTTATTGAAACATGAAAGTATATAGAACATTATATAATAAATCACCGATACCGTTTCAGCTTATTAAAGTCCACTGCTTAACATAGACTTCCCCCATAGATTGTCTCATAGGGGGATACGAGTATTTGTAATAGTTATATTCATCGCAATGAACACTCTTTCCCTCCATTTTCACTAAAAATCTTTAAAAAAGTATACATTTTCAACTCAAAATATTTTACATTATAATATAGTACCCGGATGACCGAGCTTTGCTCGCTATTTTTAAATTACATTTAGATACAAATTACATGAATAATATTTTTTTGATCTCATTGACATAATAGAAAAAACTGAAATGGTTATTTGTTTAAAAAAAATTATGAGTGCAATTAGTTTAATTAAAATTTTCGTATATTTAAAAAATACTAAAAAAAGGCCTCGAAATAATAGATTTTCTCACAAAAGAAAGGAACTTATTATTATTATTATATTAAGGGAAAAAATTAAAAATAGTCGGACCCAAGATGGGACGCGAACCACGGAACTCCGATATCACGCCCGAACAACATCCCATCTGAGCTATTACGATCGTTGGTAACTTGTCAAAATTTACCTTTTTATATTGTAGCAGTTTTTTATTGCCTGAAAACACGGACAAAAGGACATTTTCTAAAAATAAATCCTAGCTAGATCGATTTATTGCCCCCGAAACTCCCTGGACACTAAATTTTATGAAAATCGTTGGAGCCGTTTCCGAGATCCCGATTATATATATACAAGAATTGCTCGTTTAAAGGTATAGGATTCGCTCAAGCTAACACACAATGTAAACATTGAAATGTGACGTGAACTTGCAAACATATCGTCGGCGTCGCCCGCGCGTCTCCGTGTCTCGACTAAATTCATACCTAACGTGACCATACGTCCCCCTTTAGGCAGAACCCTCCCGATTTAAAGGTTTGTGTTGTATCACCCGTGCCATCATTGTGACACCGCGCGTACCAGGTTTGCCAGAATGGCTTATATAGTTACGTGATTATTCTGAAAAGCTACACTTTTGAATTTAAAGGTACGAAGTGACAATTTTTAATTAATCTACAATAAATTATCAAATAAAGTAAGTTATTTTCAATTAGTATTTATTTGATGTTCAGAATTCACTTTAGATCATTAAGAAATTCAAACAACTATGTGTTTTATTTATAAACCTATATTAAAGGGCTTCAGATTGAATTTTGGTAACAAGGCGATTCTCAACGGAAAATAGCCATCTGCGCATCTGGATTATATTGCCCAAGTGTAATACTACTGCTACTGAGAATTTTGTGACAGAAAAACCCAATAAATGATTCTTGACCCGACTCAGATTTCGAACTTGGAACCACATGATCAGCAATTGCGTTTACGACCATTAGACCAAGAAGGTAAAAGTGTTAAAACTATAATAACTTTAAAGGCGTCCCGCTCTGAGGAAAAAAATTGATGGTCACTAAAAAGCCGGGCTTTTTATCTGCGTATTAATTGCTATTTATACAATCGTAGTTAATTTTCATTATAGAACAGGTTTGCCGCAGGTTAGAAAGGGAGTGATCGCCTTCTCGAAAGCCCGGTAAAAAGCCCACGTGTGCGAGGGAGACAACCAATGGCTCAATTCAACTCTCCTTATATGTATTACAGCAGTATTCCTAAGGCTACAAAATACTTTATACATTAGAATTAGAGGTACTTGTCCGCGGATGGCGGTGAGTATCGCGCACATAGCGTTCAAAATAATCACCTCCACATTCTATGCATAGGTGACACCTAAAAGTTAACTGTTCTCCGACACGAGATAAAAGTTGAGTATTCATTTT